GTTAGGGATCTCTCCAAATTATACATACACCCCTGTACACACAAACCTGTCTTAGAAGAAGTGCAGCCTGAATGCTCTTTATATGTGAGGGTAACAAGACTGTCTCATATACTTGAGACATTTTATCAGGAGGGAGCAGTATCTGAATACACAATGCTTGAGTCAGAAGAGGGTCAGTGATAAAAATGAAGACCCTCAATAAAATAGCTGTTAAAATTGTCCTCAAGTTCAGTAGAGATGATACAGACCAACAGTTTTTGGTTCTATTACACCCTGGGTCTCGGTGAGTCAGAATCGACTCACTGGTCCCTGACAGCAGTAAATACTCAAGAACATGTATACCCTTGTTATAACCACATACATTTTCCAGGTTTTTTTGTCATTTCTCCTTTTCTTCCTACCCACCTAGTTTCCACTTTTTTTGCAGAAATAGGAATGTCAGTGGTATATATTCAAAGTAAACTACCATATAACAAGATGAACTAGTTTGGTTATAAATTATTCAGCAAATCAGTTGTTCTTGATTCTGATAGTATATCAGACAGATTATTGTATTTTGGTTTTGGTTGGATTTTTTTTTAAAACATGATTGTCCATGCTGGACTCTTTAGGACTTTTAATATAAACCTGAAATGGAGTCCAGGAGGATTTTGTACTGCTTAAACGATGAAATTGATCTGGGAGCTCTGGTGGGTGAGGAGCTGTGCTTCCATACCAAAGGCCCATGTGCTTTACTGCCTCTGAAAATCTACTGGAGGGTAACTGTGAGTCGATTTTGACACAACAGCATAAAGCAACATGTAATTGATCCCAGTGAACAGACGACTAAGAACTTCCCAACCACTGATTAGAAACACAAGATGGAGCTGTTTCATAAACTCTGAAGAAGTTTGAAAGTTTACCCTAGTGAAGGGAAGGCCAGTGACAAAAGGTTTAACCCAGTGATGACAGTGAGTTTAAATAGCAGAAATTGTGAAGATAACAGGATCAGGCAGGGTTTAGTTTTTTGTGCACAATCATTGTTAATTGGAGCCTGCTTGACATTATCCAACAATATAAGAAGTATTGATACCTTTCAATTATGGTATTGGTGAAGAGTAATGAATATGCCATGAACTTCCAGAAAAATGAACAGATTTGTTGCTTAAAACAGTATAACCAGAGTGCTTATTACAAGTAAAACACAGGTTAGGCATTTGATTAGGAGGAACTAGAAACTTTTCTGCAAAGGGCAGCAGATGAGGTTATTTACTTCCTGTTTGACATGCCAGATAATACCTAACTCTTTTTGAAATGGTTACTGTTTAAGCTTTAGTCGCTGTATTAACTTTTAAAACATTTCTTAAAACATTTTAAGAACCTTGCAAGGTAAATACACTGCTCTTGATCTTACTTTAAAAATAGACAGGTGTCATAGAAGTTAAATTAGCTTGCCCATAAAATAGTACTCAAATAAGAGCTTAAGTTCATTCTGAATGTGAATGATTTTAACTATGGCCTTATGATCTTATGGAGTACTACTCAGCATCAGTATTTTTTCCCCCCTGCTTTTCAGAAAAGTTACTAATTCAACAAAGCTAAGTACTCCAAACACTCAAAACCAGATGTACTGTCCTTTTGTTGATACCAATTCATAATAGCTGTATAGTACAGAGTATAACTGCCCATTTTCAAGGCTATAATCTTTATGGAAACCAGCTGCCTCATATTTTTCTTATGGAGCAACTGGTAGTTCCAAACTGCCAGACATTTATTTAGCAACCAAGCACTTAACCACTTAGCCAGGACACTGAAACTCGGAGATAAGTCAATAAGAGTGCCATTAATTAATTTATTTACTTTTTAGAAAAATAATACCCCATTCAGAAACATTGAGTCATGACTACATGTCAACCTTTCCGTTACGCCTATCAGAATTATCCAACTTAGCAGGAGATTTCGGGGAAGGTCTCTTACTCCCTAAACTGATATAAAGAACAGTGTCATTCTTTTCTGTCATGGCCAGAGTTCAGTTAGCTGACCTGCACAGGGACAGAGAAAGCCCACGGCATTGCACTCACAGATGACTCCATATTTATAGATACTTCTAGGCACCTTATTTTTGTTACTATGCTATCAAATTGTTTGTGACTCACAGTGACCCTATGTACAACAGCCCTGAACCCTTTCCTATCTTGAGCCAATTTCATTGTCTCTGACACATCTGCTCCCATTACTCCACTCACTGAGTCAGTCCATCTCACCCAAAGTCTTCCTCTCTTGTACTTTCTTTCCCTCCAGCCTTCCAAGCATGATGCTCCTCTCCAAGGACTGGTTCCTCCTTGCAGCATTCCCCAATATGTCAGATAGAGCTTCAAAATCCTTACCTTTAAGTAACAGCGTTGTTTCACCCTCTCTGGGATGAACTTATTTGTTGTCCTAGCAGTCCATGATAAACAAGAAACATGGGCAGCCTTAAGCTCCACAGAGCCATTTGTGGAGATCTCAGGCCCTCTCTGGGGAGGGCAAAGACATTACCAAGGGCCCCATCACAAGTAACCTCTTAGCTTTTTCCCAAGTGAAGCTAACACATAACTCAGGCAAGCACAGACTTTAGACTTGTATGCCATTTCCAGCCTTCTATACACTGGTTGGTTGATTGGTTGGGTTTTTGGTTTTGTTGTGTTTTTTTTTTAACCAGTTTCTGTTATCTTGTGACTAGGATAGCCACACTGCTCTGTGTCAGTATTAAAAGTGTTAATTCTGCTCAGAGTAAACATTTCAGATATATTTTAAAGAAAACAGTGTGATTGGCATAGGACAGAGCAGAGTTTAGAGCTGTTGTACATAGAGTCACTATGAGTCGCAAGCAACTCGACAGCACATAACAAGAACAACAACATTGTGATGGGAAAATCTATGGTTAAAGACCTCTCCAAAGTGCTTGAGAACAACATCTCAGTCTGGAGACTGAAGTGCTCCTGATAGAGGTCATGGTCTTTGCTATCACTTGCTGTGCATCAGAAAGGTGGACAGTGACTAGGGATGATGGAAGGATAATTGATGCCTTTGAACTGTGGTGTTGGAGAAGAGTATTGAAGATACCATGGGCTGCTAAAAGAAAGAACAGGTTTGTCCTGGAGAGGGTAAAGCCAGGCTGCTCCTTGGAGTCAAGAATTCTGAAGCATCATCCAACATAACTTTGGACATGTTGCAAGGTGGGATCAGTCCTTGGAGAGAAGAATATCATGTTTGGGAGGGTAGAGGGACAGTGCAGGAGAGAAAGACCCACGATGAGATGGATTGATTTGGTGACTTGGGTAACGGGTAGGTGTGTCAGAGACAATGAGATTGGCATGGAATAGAGTAGGGTTTATGGCTGTTGTACATAGGGTCGCTATGAGTCCCATGTGACTCGACGCCACATAACAACAACATACTCCATTGATAACTTTAAAAAGGAAAATCTTACATAGAAACTATGTAATATCTTGAACAAGTAATGATTAAGTGCTAATTATAGTGATCTATCCAGAATCTACTTGGCAGCAATTGTTATTGTTGTTACATGCCATTGAGTCGCCTGCGACTTATAGCGATCCTCTGTACAACAGCCCTAAAACCTGCTCTATCCTGTGCCATGATTACTGTCTCTGACACATCTACCCCCTATTATTCCAGTCATTTAATCAATGTATTTCATTGAGGGTCTTTCACTTTTGTGTTGTCCTTCCACCCTCCCAGGCATGATGTCCCTTTCCCAGGGCTGGTCCCTCCTTGCAACATGTCCGAAATATATCAGACGAAGCTTCAGAATGTAATCAAAATGTAAACAGAAGCCTCCAAGGAGCAGCCTGGTCTCACCCTCTTTAGGACGAACTTGTTCTCCTAGCAGTCCATGATCTATTCAGTGCTTTTCACCAGCACCACCGCTCAAAGGCATCAGTTCACCTTCTATCATCCCTAGTCATTGTCAAGCTTTCCAATACACAGCAAGTCCAAACTGACATTGTCACTCTTCAGTACTTTGGAAAAAGGTCTTTGAGGGCCGACTTTTCTCAGTGCAGTTAATCTTTTTATTTCCTGGCTGCTGGTACCAAGAGTGTTGTTTGTGGAGACAAGCAAACTAAAGCCATTAACAGTCTCAATCTCTTCACCATCTATCATGATGGTGTCTGTAGGCCCAGTGGTTAGAATCTTTGTTTTCTTGATGTTGAGCTTCAATCCATATTAAAGGCTGGCAGTCCTTGACCTTCTGCAGCAAGCACTTCAGGTCCTTCTCAGTTTCAGCAAACAGAGTTGTGTCATCTGCATAACAGAGATTGTTGATGAGTCTGCTTCCAATCCTGGTGCCACATTTCACCTCATAAAGACCAGCCTCCTGGATACTCTGTTTTGCATATAGATTGAAAAGGTATGGTGATAGGACACATCCCTGGCTACACTCTGGCAGCAACTAGGTTTTTGATATCATTTCAGAGTGAAGTGGGGTAGTGCATTCAAAATGAAGTTCTACAGTTTTTACCTTTAGCTTGCTCGCATGCCAAGGGAGCAGTGAATTAAAGTAGAAATATCCTGGGTAGCAAGTTAGGATTCTAGGATTCTAGATCTGGTTCTGTCATTCATTAACTCACTGTTGCTTTGAAAATAGCATTTAACCTCCAGGCTTCTCCTTGATGTTCTTTAGAGTAGAGTGCATGATTGACTATGATGATTACCTAAAAAATGGTCACTCAGGAAAGATGTAAAAATGCTATGCTATGAATGGCTACAAATAAAAGGTAAGACCCAGTAAGAAATCATTATGCTTGTCTATAGTTGATATAGGATTTTAGTAAGGACATTCACAAAAGACACTTATCTGGCAAATAGTATCATTTAACATTAGTAGGCATGAAAAGTGAAACAGTAACAAAGGTTTAGGCACTAAAATACTGTTTCTGAAAATAATAAAATATAATTACTTAAGGATTTGTTAAAAAGTAAGGTATACTTTATAACTACATGCTTTCATTTTCTAGGATCAAATTTAAATCGCTGTGGTTTCCGAGGCTCTTCATACCTGGGTATTCCATTCAATCCTTCAAAGGTTAGTTCTCACTGGGTCAGGAGGAATGAAAAACAATGGGAATATTTTAATGAGAATGAAAACCAAGAAATACAGACTTCCAATACTTGATATAGCTAATACAATGATGTGTATTATGAATGAAATCCTTTTGAAAGCTGAACTTAAATTCCTTTCTGAAAGCGTGTTCAATACATATAAGCACAAGAATTTCTTTTCGTAATTACAAAAAGAAATATAGCCATGGTGAAGAGAACGCCTTCATATGTTGCCGCTGCAGGCGCCCCCCCCCCCTTTCATCTCTTTATCTTTATTGCCAGGTCATTTGCCAGATTTTCCTTATGTCATTTGCTGAGTGATTTATCCTTTATCTAATGAAATAAAATGCCAAATTCATCATGAAACATATCATGGATCTATTACAGGTCTTTCTGTTTTATTCCCTTTTTTTAATATAATAACTTATTTACAAAATTCAAATACATTGTTTTGTTTTTCACACCAGATCATTCCGATTTCCCTCACCCCACCCACCCATCAAATTGTCTGAGTCCATGATTATCTGCAACACACTCCACCCTCCTGCACATTCTCACCTATCTGCTTCCACTCCCCCACCCCCCCTTGGATCCTCATACTCATTCTACAATAATGGTTTTATACATTATTTGTCCTTAAGTTAGTTCACTCAGCATAATGCTCTTTAGTCCCTCTTAAGTTAGTTAGTAATTTTATACTGGTTTACATTCAAAGTTCATAAAGTTTATATACATTTTTGTTTTCACACAGATCTTTCCCCTTTTCTTTACTAATCCCTCACTCCACCCATTGAATTGTGCTTCATGTGGCTTTTTGTTTTAATCCTGTGGAAAAACAATTTGAGAGCTAGTTCTCCTTAACCCTGAAGAAGTACCTTTTCTACCACAAAGGATTTGTTACTTTTTTTTTTTTTTTAAGTGCAAATAATTTGCCTTGATACGTTTGTCTGTCCTGGGGCTGTAACCTGCCTGAGGTGGTTTTACCCATTGTGGGATTGGTCACTATACTGTGCAAATGAAGATATACGGAATTGTGCAAATGAGTTTTCCTTAACTAGCTATAAAAAAAAGATTTCTCTGGCCTACCGAGAGAAGATTATTCCATGACTCCAAGTGGAAGGGACCATGCCTTAAAGTTGAAAAGATGTTATGTCTATATACAGCCAACCCCACAGATGTTTTCTGATATGAAGACGCACAGAGAAGAGTGGATGGATGATGGTTGTTATTGTTAGATGCCATTGAGTTGACTAGCACCCCTATGAACGACAGATCTGAACCTCACTCTATCCTGCTCCATCCTCGTGACATCTAAGATTCTTAAGCTCTCTGTGGTAGTCACTGCATTACTCCATCTTGTAGAAAGTCTTCCTTTCTTTTTCTGACCCTTCCTCCTTTCCATCATGATGTCTGTCTTTAAGGATTCTGTCCTTAGAAGACACCCAAGTTAGAGACCCAGTGGGTTGAGTAGATTTAAATTATAGATTGTATTGACACCATGCACAGAATAATCAGAAGAGAAGAGGCAAGAAGACTCTTACTGAAACTCAAATAAGAGTTGGACTATGATAGTGAGGATACCTACAGACGTGGAAGGGGCCTTGCTTCAGAATTGGTGGTGACAAGTAGCAGGGCCAAGAAGGAAGCTAAGAGGAGGCCTGCACATCCAAGAGGAGCTGAGAGAACTGTCTTACGCCAAAAAAAAAATAGACACCGGCTATATACTTTCTAATCCTTTTCCTTACTGGCAGCCTTTAATCCTGATCTCAGATTATACTACTGCTTCCTTAATAGACCATTTAAGTGTTAAGTGTGATCTGTGAGTTTTCAAACCTAAAAGAGAAGTAGAACATACAGTGTGATGCTGTTGTTAGAATTGTAAAAAAAGATGGAGGTATGTATTCTTGACCTCCACCTCCTGGGAATCATCTTTGAGGTGACCTGGTTTCATTTTATTTCCCACAAGTTCAGTAGCTTCTGATGCTATTGGTATTACTATTACCACCACTTCACTTTACACATTTCTTAAAAGAAAAGCCCAAGTATTGATGAATTTTATAACCTTTATGGCAATTAGCAGAATGTCTTCAGGATTGTAGGCAGAAGCTTTGGTACCAGCACATGCCAGGATAGAAAGCACTGAATCCTAACAAAGTAAAGGTCTGTGTTCTTCAAGGAAACAGAACCAGATGTGTTACTAACTGCAGGCATTTGAGGAGTCCCTAAGTGACCCAAAGGTTTTAAGTCCTCAGCTACTGATTAAAAGTTGGACAGAGATACCTCAGAAGAAAAATTACAACCATTGAATACCCTGTGGAACACAGTTGTATTGTTTTTATTGTTGTTAGGTGTCATTGAGTTAGGTATGATTCATAGTCACCCTATGAACAGCAGATTTGAATCTCACCCTGTCTTGTACCATCCTCACACTAGAGGACACACTGACACACTAGAGCCCATTGCGGCACACACCGTGACAGTCTACCTGGTTAGTCTTCCTCTTCTTTGCCACCCCTCCACTCTTCCAAGCATGATGTTCCTCTCCAAGGAATAATGCCTCCTAGAAACATGTTCAAAGTATGTGAGGTGAAGCTTCATCATCTTTGCCTCCAGAGAGCATTCTGGGTACACTCTCTCTAAGACATATTTATTTGTTCTTTTGTCATTCCATTGGATGTTTAGTGCTCTTCTCCAACGCCACAACTCAAAGGTATCAGTTCTTCTCTCATCCTTATTCATTGTCCAGCTGTTTGATGCATAGCAACTGATTGGAAAGACTATGGCCTGAATCAGGTGCACCTTAGTCCTCAAACTGACATCATTACGCCTCAGTAATCTGGAGAGGTCCCTAACTGCAGATTTTCCCAATGCAATACGTCTCCTGATTTTCTGACTGCAATTACCAAGAGTGTTAATTGTGGATGCAAGTAAGATGAAGTTGTTGACAGTTTCAATCTCTTCTCCATCCATCATGATGTTGAGTATGGGTCCAGTAGTAAGAATCTTTTGTTTTCTTGACATTGAGATGCAATCCATATTAAAGGCTACATTCCTTGATCTTCTGCAACAAGTGCTTCGCTCACTTTCAGCAAGCAAGGTTGTGTCATGTGCATAACACAGATTATTCACGAGTCTCCCTCCAGTCCTGATGGCACATTCTTCTTCATAGAGTCCAGCTTTCTCGAATTCTTTGCTGAGCATACAGATTGGATAAGTATGGAGAGAGAATACAACCCAGACATACTCCCTTCTTAATTTTAAACCATTCAGTGTTTCCTTGCTCTTTTCTCACAGCAGCCTCTTGGTCCAGGTATAGGTTTCTCATGAGCACATTTAAGTGCTCTGGGATACCTGTTCTTCTCAGTGTCAGCAACACTTTCTTGCTATCTACACAATCAAATGCATTTGCATAGTCAATGAAGCACAAATAGACATTCTTTTGGTATTCCTTACTTTGAGCCAGGCTCCATCTGACATCATCAATTATTTCCCTAATGCCACAGCCTCCTTTAAGTCCTACTTAAACTGCTGGCAGTTCTCTATCTATGTCCTGTTCTAGCTGTTTTTGAATGATTGTCAGCAGTATTTTGCTTGCATGTGATTGATACTAATGATATTGTTCCATAGTTTCTGTGTTCAGTTGGATCACCTTTCCTTGGCAATGGGAACAGATAAGGACCTCTTCCAATCTGTTGACCAGACAGTTGTCCTCCAAATTTCCTGGCATAGACTAGTGAACACATCAAAGGCTATATCTGTTAATTGAACAAGGCAATTAGTATCCCATCGATTGCTGGGGCCATATTTTTTGGCAGTGCCTTCAATACAGCATCCACTTCCTCATTCATTACCCTTGGCTCCTGCTCTTATGGTACTCCCTGAAATTTTTCAATATCAATCAATTCTTTCTGGTACAGTGATTCTGTTTATTTCCTCCATCTCCTTTTGATGCTTTTTGGGTCATTCAATAAATTAAATGACCAGAGCTCCCCAGTTGCCCATAGCATCTATATTGCAACTCATGGTTTAATTTTTTTTTTCCCTTCAGTTCTCTTAGCTTAAGAAATGCAGAATGATTTATTTATTGTGAGTACCTTTTATAAAAGACATAAGTGATGGCTTTACACATCGATATCACCTGTTGGGCTGAATAGGAATTAGATTGACAACATACCTGATGGGCTGCGTGGGAATTAGATTGACAACATCTGTGGAAGAAATTGTTGGAGAAGCTTAATAACAGCAGTCAAAACGAGGCCAGGTATAGACTGTGTGTCAGACCATCAATTACTCATATGCAAGTTCAAACTGAGACCAAAATAAGTCCACAAGAACCAAGATATGATCTTGAATCTATTCCATGTGAATTTCAAGATCAATTTAGGAATAGATGTGAGTCATTGAACACCAGTGATCAAAGACTGGATGAGTTGTGGGATGATATCAAAGGGTATCATTCATGAAGAGAGCAAAGGGTCAATATGAAAACAGAGGGAGAAAGAGGAAACTAACATGTATGTCAGAAGAGATTCTGAAAATTACAGGAGAGTGTCAAGAAGCCAAAACAAAGGGTAAACATGCCAAAGTAAAAGAGCGGAACAGATTTCAAAGGCAGTTTGAGTGGACAAAGCAGAATATTATAATGGAAAGTGTAGAGAGCTGGGACTGGAGAACAAAAAAGGAAAAACTTGCTCTGCATTTCTCAAGCTCAGAGAACTGAATAGTGATATTAGAAAGCAATTATAAATATAGAAAAAATAGCATAATTAGAGTTTTCTATTTTAAAGAGAAACTTGGGAAAAGAGTAACAAGATTAAAATTTGCTTGGCGTGTTTCTGGGACAGTATAAACAATGCTGTATAAAAGAGTAGATTTAAATTATAGGTAATATTGAATACCATTCAGATTATTCTTTGTGGAACCACAGAAGGCGACTAAGCAAGAAAATGAGATGATGTGTTTTGTGGCCAAGAATCATAATTC